TAAAATAAATATCAATTTTTATAATTTTTTATATAAATTAATTATAAAATAATATATATTACTCCCTTAACATGTACAAGTGTAAGTTAGATTAACCCATTTAAAAAATAAGTAAATAAGTCATTAAGTCGTGCAATTAAGGCAAATTAGATAATCCTTAACATCTATAATTTATGTTAATTTTAGTTGAGGTGGTTGATGTTGTACCTATGATTTTAATGATTATAAAACACATTTGAGTGATTAATTAGTTTATTTAAGTGTGTAGTTAAATTGTTAAAAGATTACAAGTAAACTTAGATTACACTAAAAATAGACCAAAAGGATCGAAAATAGACCAAAAGGATTGAAAATGTGCAGAGAGTCAGCTCTTGAAACCTACAACCGGTTCTGTGAAATGGAAGTGCAGAAAGCCAGTTTGAAAAAATTGCAATCGGCTGTGGAAGTGCAGAGAGCTAGCTCTGGAAGCTACAGCTAACTCTACAGGTAAAAGTTTGAAGATCGTTGTTTGGCGCGCGGATAAAAAAAGCAAAGCCGACTTTAACTTTTCAGCCAGTTGTAAGGGCGCATTTAATACTTAACAGTCAACTTATTTAAAGAATAATTAATATTTTTAAAGTCGAAATACAAAAGCTGACTTTATGTTTTTGCAGCTGATTATTCAAGAAAAATAGAATGTGCAGGAAACCCGCAAAGCTGGTTTTGTGTTTTGCGTTTTGCGTTTTGCAACCGACTCTATGGAGAAGACAGAATGTGCAGGATCCTGCAAAACCGACTGCAAGAATGGTAAGCCAGTTGTGGAGAGCCGGCTCTAGAAGCTTATGCCGACTGTACTAACAGCTCTGCAACTCAAACCATGTGTTTTGCAGAGCATTAAATGACCTCCTAACCGCTAGTAATAGTTATTTTCAATCATGGGGTTATAAATATGGTTGGTAGAAGATCTGGAGCAAGTTTAGAGAGCATTGCATTGAATATCTTTACCTACCTATATGAGCTCTAACTTGAGTTTTTGATCTTTGAGAAATCTTTACTTGTAATCCTCTTCTTGTTCTATTTGTGAGTGATTTTGGGGGTGTGATTAATCCTTTAAGAATGATCTGTAGAGAGGATTGTTTGGGTTTATCTTGTAAATGGATGAGATTTGAGAGAAACACCATTTTTCTTGTAAAAGAATTGAGTGACTCCTTTAAGCCACCATTGATTTTGTTAGTGGAGAGTATTGAAGAAATCATTGGTGAGTGAAGCTAAGGTAGAGAACTAGATTTTAAGTGGTTGGATTGAACCTCTATAAAATTATTGAGCAAGCTCTTCTTTTCTACTCTCTTTAATTTTGGTGTTGTGGTTGCAAAAAAGGAAAATTTTTAGAACTTCAATTCACCCCCCTCTTAGAGTACATTGAGTCAACCATTGATAAAAAAATGACTATTATTAATCCACATTTATTTTAATATGTGCTTGTACGGTAGAAATTAAGACTATAATAATAATTATTTTTTTATATTAATTAGTATTGTCAAAAAATATTATTAATTTTGTTATTATTATCATGTAAATCATTTTAACTAAATAATTATTTAAAT